GCCACCAGGATCCCTTGGTCCAAGTACAAGAGAAAGGAAGGACATTCACACTTACCTGCCGCCCTTAGGCTTCCTAGAATTGTTTTGCTGAACTCTCTCATCAAACTTTGAGAATAAGTTCCTTACAGGCCCATTTCAGAGATGGGAAAGCCAAGGCCCAGAGAGGAGAAGTGACTTGACCAGGATCACCCAGCTTGGAAGGAATAGACCTGGGTTATAAATTCAGTTGCCTGGCTGAATTCAGGAACCGGGATTTTAGCCAGTAGTCCCTTCATGGTTCAGTTTCCTTCCAGCCCAGTGAACTTTGTCCTTTCTTAGGAGGTCAGATGTAAACTGAAGCCTAAAACCAACCTTAACCATGACTTACAAGGCCCTACAGGAGCTGTCCCATCACCTTCCTGCCTCATTCTCCCTCATTCACCCCTTGCACACTCTGCCCTGGCCACACTTGCCTCCTTACTTTTCTTCCAACATATCAGGCACACTCCCACCTCAGGAACTTTGCACTGGCTGTTCCCTCTGCTTATCACCCTCATCCTTTAGACACCCACATACCATCCCCTCTCATTTCATTTAGGCATCTGCTCAAATGTCATCTCCTTAGAGAGGCCTTCCCTATCCCCAGGGCACCTCTTTTCTTCATTGTCCCATGTGTCACCACCTGGAATTACCCTTCTCCCTTTACTTGCTATTTCTCCCTCACCCACTAAGCTGAGAACTCCTGGAGGCAGAGACTGGATCTGTCTCATATCTTATGCCACAGCCTGAAGATCCTCAATGTGGAATGAATAGCCCTGTTACAGATGAGGAAACTGAGGTTCAGATGGTAAAGTCCTTTCCCAAGGTCACACAACAAGTCAAGGGCAAAGGCTGGATTTGAGCTTTTACTCAGGAGTGAAAACAGTGGGCCCACATGCCCCCCAAACTCTGTCCTCACCCTGCCAGTCTGTGGCTTCCCTAGACCCAAAGCCCTGGTTTCCTGCACCTCAGAGGAACTTGCAGTCAATCTGTTACTGGTGAAAGAGGGGGGCATCCTGGCAGCCAGGGCCTGGGTTTGTGATGTCGAGGATACCCCCTTTCTCTCTGTTGAAGTCATTTTGAGGAAGTGCAGTTCTCAAAACACCAGCTCCTGATCGCCCAGACCTGATGTCAGCCTTCACAGCGGGTCTTATTCAGCCGGTTTACTGATAAGGAAACTGAGGCACACGGAGGTCTGATCGCTAGCCCCAGGTCACACAGAATAAATGGGTAGGGACGCAATCTTAATCTCACCAACTGGTCTGGAGCCGAGGAGACCTAGTTTTTAACCCCAGTTCTGCCCCTACTGGCTATGTGACCTTGGGCAAGCCACTTCGTCTCTGTTTCCTCGGCAGGACTGGAAAGCCAAAGATGCTGGGGGTTAAAATACACGTTGGTGTTTGGAGGCCCCGACGTGGGCATGGGCAAGGGCAAACTATGCGTTCTCAACTTTTCCGCCAAGTTCCCCTGCATCCGCCAGGCGGCGGTAACCCACGCGCTCGGCGGCGGGGTGGAGGATAGGGTGGCGGCCTGGTCCCAGCGCACCCGGGGAAGGCGCAGACCTCACCCGAAGCCTGCGGTCGGCCGGCTTGGCGCCCACATTCCGAGGCGCTCAATAAGCATGAAATAATAATACGGGGCACCGCGGCAGTGGCGGCGGCGGCGACTTTGCTCTTCGAGGACGAGTCCCGGAGGCAGGTCCGGGCTCCGAGCGCACACTTAGCCTGTGCCTTTTTCGTCGTCCAGCAGGGGGCGCGCGGAGACACGCGCTCAGTACACATTCAGGGACACGGAGCGCCAGACGAGGGGAGGCAAGGACCCAAATGGACATAGAGACCACCCGCCAGAGAGAGACCCTAGTCCTGCTGCCTCCACCCCCTCCTGGGACCAGGCAGCGACCCCCTCAGTGGGGAGTGTTTGAGGGTCCAAAGCGGGGCAGTGGGAAGTCAATACATTGGCTCCACTCCTAATTAAGGCAAGTCTCCCCCCCCAATCTAACCACCAGAGTCCTTCTCTTCCTCAAGCTCCATCTGCCTGACAGATCGTGTTGGTGCCATGACTCAGCCCTGCAGGGCGCCAGGAGCGCAGGCTCATACGTCGCCAGGTCCAGAGGGGAACGTGGGGCGCGGATACCATCTAGGATGGGGACAATGCCCTCTCTCTGGGGTGTTCCTGTGATTCAAGTCTGGAGGGCTCTCTGGACCCCCTGTTTTGGTGGCTGCATGAACTCCAACGTGGGAAGCAGTGGAACCTCCTGTGTGTGCACCGGTAAAACCCCCTTTCTGGAGAACTGGGCTGGCAGAATGCCCATTCTAAAAAGCGAGGTTCCCACTGGAGGGCTCTCAGTTCCCCCTTCCTCCCTCTGCCTGGTAGTGGGGGAAGGACGCTGGCACCAATGCCCTCCCTCTTGCCACAGCTCCTGGAGGCTACACAGGCCACAGTGAAACAGAAACCTGAGCCCCTGAGGGATGTGGTTGAGGTTCCTGTTTTTTCTTCCAGTCCAGGAGGGGCAGGGTCTATGCAGCCCCACCTCCACTCCAGAATCCAGGTTCCTGAGTAACTAGATACAGAGCACTCACTGTGTTAAGTCCTTTACACACATCCCCAATCTCACAGAACTCTCAAACCGACCCCCGTAGGGCAGTGCTGAGGACAGCCTCACTTTACAAATGGGGAAACAGGCTCAGAGAGGGCAAGCATCACACAAGCATCAGACAGACCTGTGTTGGAATTTCAGCTCTGTCATTTCCTGGTTGTGTGAAATAGGGCAAGAAGAAGGGTCTTTACCTGGCCAGAGTGGTTCAGTGCTTGAGCCTCGACCTATGAACCAGGAGGTCATGGTTTGATTCCTGGTCAGGGCACATGCCCGGGGTTGCAGGCTCGATCCCCAGTGGGGAGCGTGCAGGAGGCAGCCGATCAATGACTCTCTCTCATCATTGATGTTTCTATCTTTCCCTGTCCCTTCCTCCCTCTGAAATCAATAAAAACATATTTTTTAAAAAGAAGAAGGTTCTTTGCCACTCTGAGCCTCAATTTCCCTATCTGTCCAGCAGGAATATCTCAAAAGGCACTAGGGATGAGAACTTATGAAAAAACTCCCCCACATGGAGCCTGAGAGCAAGCCATTATGAGAGATATGCCACTAAGATAATGATGATTATTACCACTCAGCCACTGTCCCCCGAGGGTCCGTACCCTAGAGACCAGGCTAGGGGGAGTCCCTGGGGCCTTAAAAGGGGTTAGGGTCCAGTTCTTACTGCACCCCATCCCCTCCCTGGTCTCTTAGGACAGTGGCCTGGCGTGCTGCCCTTGGTCTTGGCATTTCCTGTTGATTCCAGCTTTGTTTTCCTTCAGCTCCTCTCCAGTTCCCCTTGGGAAAGAGCAGGCTGTGTGTGAGGAGCCTATGACATTCAATTCCTGGTGGGGGAAGGGATTCTGGGGCTGGGTGTGTCCCAAATGAGGTAGGTGGAGGTGGCCTGGGGGGCTGTGGCGCCTGTTGGAGGTCCCGAGAGCTAGAATAGTAAGGTAACAGCCTGAAAGGGCCTCCCTTGTGAATTCCAGGAGTGAGAGGCTGAAATCTTAGTGATGTTCCAAGTATAGGGGTACCCATGGAGGGCAGGCAAAGCACACAGTCAAAGCTGTCAGTCACACATGTCACCAGAGCGCACAGAGTCAAACCTCAAGCACCATGGGAACACCAGGTGGGTAGAGGACAGAACACCAGGCAGATGGGAACACTCCCAAAAGTCAGAGAACTGATTCTCAGACATGGGGCACACAGGCAGCAGAGAGCACATCACAACGTCTTAATCTCAGTTCCTCAGAGAGAACGGTCTTGCTGACACAATCATTGTCCTGGGAGTGTGCACATTGAAGTGCCACCATCACTACATCCCAGGAATTCCCATGGCCACAATCACTGTCCCAGTAGCACACACAGTCACTGTCATGATCACTGTATTAGGAGCAGACACAGTGTCTCAATCACAGCATCCCAACAACACACACAGTCAGTAACAATCACAACACCCTGGGAGCACATACAGCCACACAGTCACAGTATTCCAGTAGCACAGTCACTGTCCCAGAAGCACAGTCACAAAATCACTGTCCTGGGAGCACACACAGTCCCCAGGTTACAATCACAGACCTCAGAAGCCCAGGCAGAGTACTCAGCCAAGGTGGCCACAGCTGGTCATACCCCACCAGCTGGAGCAATGTCAGGTCAGTGAAAGGATACAGCCAGAGCCAGCCCAACACACCCCCTCACTAACACTGTCATCTGGGGAGGCAAGGATTCCTTCACCCTGTGCTGGGACTGTGCACCCCCTGGGCACTGCTCCTTCCTCTGCAGCTACTGAACCCTAACTCTCTCCTGCCCTGAGAAGGGGGCTCCATCCAGCACACAGCCCCCCAACACAGTACTCCCCAAAGAGGCCCCCTCTGGATTTCTGACTCCAGCTGCTGCAGAATGAGTCCATAAATGCTCCCCATCCCATATAGTCCTCCACTGTTAGAAGAGTCCCCCTGAACGCCCTCAGCCTGGAGGCAACTGGTCCTAGCAGATGCCCCCTAAAGAGTGCCCCCTAGGACAGACACCCCCAAACACAGTTAATCTAGCTTTCAGTACAATGCTTCCAGGAAAGTCCCTTGAAGTGGTACCCAGCCTAACCACTGTCCGTCACTGTCACCAATTAGGGATACAGACCCCCTAAAGCTGTGACCCTCAACCCAGACCCTGTTAATACCGCACGCAGCATGGTGCCCCCTAGGTTGACACAGGATCGGCTTCAGTAGAAAGCCTCGGGTATAGTGCACTACCAGGGGCAGGGTCCGGGATGCCCCCGCAGCAGAACTCTCCCACCCCCACCAGTCACACTGACCCCCAGCCGCGTCACAGTGCCCCCTGCAGTCAGCCGGGCGAGTCGCATCATTCCTGCGCGCCTGTCGGCTCCGCGCGGGTCCGCCGCCGGGAGTCTTACCGCCTGCAGCTGCCTCCGCCCGCGCCGCCGCTGCCGGTGCTGTGGAAGGACGAGGGCCAGGACATGCGGGACGTGCGCAAGCCGGGCCGGTCGCTGGTGTCCACAGCGTTGGCGCGCTCTATGGGCCGGTGTGGTGGCCGCTCGGGCTCTGCGTGCTCCGCGCTGTCCGAGTAACCGCGTTGCTGGATACGGATTGGAGTTCGCGGCTGCCGCCACAGGTGCTGGGGAGGCGGCTTCAGGGTGGCCTGGCCCTCCCGGGGCCCGGGCAGAGACAGAGACAGGCTCCTCTCCGAGGGGACGGCCGGGGGCTCCATGTCGCCAGCCGCCACCTGCACACCAGGGGGCCCTGGCCTCTTCTCCACGCTGCACCCTACTCAGCTTCGGGAGAGCCGACGCGCCCGGGGCCCCGAGGGTGCACCCGGCCTCGGTGGGGCCATGGCGCCCTGGAAACAGACCCGGGGGCGCTACGGGCCGATCGCCCCCGGGCCGGGCGCCAAAGCTTCTAGCCGGCGCTTGGCGCTCCGCTCTGTGCCCGTCAGCGCTCTCGGCGCTTGGCGCCGGGTTCGGCGCTAGCCCCGGGCTCCCCGCCCCGTCCCTCCCCTACCCGCCCG